CTTAGATTGTACACCCCTTGAGGGTTAGGGACTGATGTGAATGTACAATATGTATGTAAAGTGCTGTGTAAATTGATGGCGCTATATAAGTATCTGGTGTAAATGGGGCCAAATGTTATGATCCTGGTAAAAAGAATTGCAACTTTTTTTTTTTTTTACAAATTAAATAAAGGGTTTCCGTTTTTTTTTAACCACTTGTCACCCCACCACAGTACATTTACTGCATCAGGCTGGCAGGTGCAGGCACAGCCAAGTATATACACATGACTGCCTTCTTCCAAGTCTGCGGGGGTGCATGCACGCCCCCTGCCAATCCATGCTGTGATTGGACACAGCTCACGTTTGGCAGCTGATTTCAGCCAATGATTTTGGCTGAAGTCAGCTGATCGGCTGTGTTCAATCACACACAGAGGTCTGTGTTTACAAAGCACAAAACTGTGTACAAGGAAAAACAATCTGGCTGTTTTTTTTCTCCCTGCAAAGCAGGGAGAAAAAAACAGCCATATAGTAAAGTAAAAGCAACACATATTACACATTGTTAGGATTAACAATTAACCCTTGGTTTCCCCTAGATGTTATCCCCGTCCCAGCCAGTGTCATTAGTACAGTGATAGAGTAGAGTATTAGCACTGATCACTGTATTATTGTCACTATTGGTGTCAGTAAGTCACTGCTATTACCAGTACAGTACCATAGCTGCATAAATTCCAGTATATATACCATAGTTTGTAGACACTATAACTATCACAAAAAAAACAATTAATTTCCACGTATTGTGATTTTCTTTTACCAAAGACGTAGCAAAATACAATTTGGTCTAAATTTATGATGAAATTTGATTTTATTAGATATGTTTTATAACAGAAAGTCCACTTGTTCCTCCTCCAAAGAGAACGGACCCTAGTCCTGATCCCCCAGGGCTCAAGACTCCTGACAGAAACTAGGGTTCTCTTGGTTCACCCGGCTAAAACCAGGCTGACCCCATTCTTCAGGGGACCTGCCAAAGCAAGGGTCCCCAAATACTAGTTGGGGCTCTCCTGAAGAGAGACCCTATGGGAGGAGAAGTCCGAGGGCCTACACCCTCTCAAGTGAGAGTTAAAGTGGTTTTAAACCCTTCCATATACCTATTAAAGTGACTGGACACAGGCGATACACAGAGATGTAACAAATCCTCCTATATAAGTTGTACCTGTTTATCTGAAGTCTTCTATTTTCTACAATGCAGAATTTATAAAGCTTGTCTCAGAGTTCAGAAAAAAAGAGGTGGAGAGTTGAAATTACACACTGCATAGTTCATTGAGGAGCTGTATGAGAGCTGATTGGAGGGAAGGGACACACCCCCTCCACACAGCTCACAGGAACAGAGATGAGGCTGTCAATCACAGGCTGTGTGCTGGAGATCCCTCCCCGTCACCGTTTTTCTCTTGGTGTCAGGAAAACTCATCAGAAGTGATTTATGCTGATAGCAGAGGAAGGAGGCAGAAAACAAAAATGACACTTAGTGCTCTGGATTGAGACAAGCACACACTATAGAGAGATATGCTTTGTTCATATTTCATGTTTGAGGTTTACAACCACTTAACCGCCTCCTACCCGCTATATAAGGAAATAATGGGTGGGCGGCGGTTCTCTCGTTCTGGGAGGACATTATATGACGTCCTCCCACTCTAACTGCGCATGCGCGGGGCAGCGATCGGTGGTGCTCTGTGTCCCTGGGATACAGCGGATCACCAATCACAGTAAAGAGCTGATGACACAGGCTCTGTCCTGTGATCAGCTGTGTCCAATCACAGCTGATTGCATGTAAACATTGAAATGCCGGTTATCGGCAGTCCTCTCCTCACGCTGACAGCACGTGAGGAGAGGAGAGCCTGTAAGTGGCATTCCTCAGAGGGGACATCTACACTGATCATCAGGGCACTGATCATCAGTGTCCTGATGATCAGTGTAGCCCCATCAGTGCCACCTGTCAGTGCCCATCAATGCCACATACCAGTGCCCATCAGAGCTGCCTTTCAGTGCCAACTATTAGTGCCAGTCAGTGATGCCTATCAGTGCCGCCAATCAGTGCCCCATGCCGAGTGCTGTGCCAGGGGCGGACTGACCATTTGGAAACTCGGGCACTGCCCAATGGCCCGAGTTCAGCAGGGGGCCTCATGAGATGCCCCTAGTACCTTTTTCATAGGCTTTTTTAGGTTTGGGCAAGGACACAGGGGCCCCATGATCCCCTATTGCCCGGGGGCCCCATGAGTTGTCAGTCCACCCCTTGTGCTGCCTATCAGTGCCATATGTGAGTGCTGCCTATCAGTGCCATATGTGATGCCTGTCAATGCTCACCAGTGATGCCTATCAATGCCCATCAGTGCCGCCTGTCAGTGCCCATCACTGCAGCCTCATTAGCACACATTAGTGAAGCAGAAAAAGTACTTAATTACAACATTTTTTAACAGAAACTAAGAACAAGCTTTTTTTTTTCAAAATTTTCAGTCTTTTTTTAGTTTGTTTAGCAAAAAATAAAAACCCCCAGTGGTGACTAAATACCACCAAAATAAAGCTCTCTCTGTTTCAAAAAATGGATACAAATTTATTTTGGGTACAATGTTGTATGACCGCGCAATTGTCATTCAAAGTGTGACAGCGCTGAAAGCTGAAAATTGGCCTGGGCAGGAAGGCGGTAAAAAGTGCCTGGTAGGCAAGGGGTTAAAATGCATCGTGCTGTGCAAAAAGTGCAAAATAATTGAAAAAGGGGAAAGGAATAAAAGGAAAGTGCTTCAGTGCCAATATGAAATACAAAGACAACCTACATATATACTATCATGAATGTTTTGTGGATGTGTGTAGGACATCTAGTGTCCGCAACTGGAATTACACCTCTACCAAGTACAGCTGCATACAGCTGTTCACTTTTTTTTCCTTTTTTTTTTTTTTTTTTTTTTTTTTAAATAGAGTGTAACAGAAGGATTAGAATGCCTGATGATTTCTAACTGATACATGGGGCTCCCTTAGGGTGCATTCACACTATAGTGTTTCATGAATGCATAAAAAAATGCCAGATTTTGCGTGCTCTCATTAAACATGCAAAAAATGTGCATCAAGCATGTGGTGCCATTTATTGTCAATGGAACCGGAAACTCTGCTTGCCATGTTACTTTTCCATGCATAGGGTAGTCTATCAAAATCAATGGAATTCCCTATTTGCACATATCTACGGCACTATTGAAGCACGGTACAATCATGACCCAACCATAATATCACCTTCTGTGCTTCATTCCAGATTAAAAGGCCGGCACAATGACACGGGAACCAACCTGTTCTCTTCTCCTGACCCCAACTACAATGCCACAGGTAAGTCCCCCCATCTCTACACCAGGAAGGTAGGTGTAATTTTCAGGGTCATCATTGGGTGATTTTGCTGTATGTTTGCTGTACATGAATTGCCTTCACCTTAGACCAGCAGGGTGGCTCAGTAGCCAATTTTGGCCATACATGTTCCAATGTGATCATTCGATGAATTGATCATGTTTGTATTGTAGCTGAATCCAGCAATTATTAGCTACCAATTTTCACTATCCATTGGATCATCATTATCTGCAGGAAGGATTCAGAGATGAACACGGTCAGATTGCTTTGGAAAATTCTGAGCATTTTTCTCCCATGGTGTAACATTTTGCTTGATCCAAAAAGATTGCCTGATGTGTTCCTTTATCAATCTAAACACTTCAAGGTCTATGTATATAAAGACTCCCTGTACAAATGTGACAAACATTCACACAGAGCCACCGAAAATCATCATATTTTGCATATTGTAAGCGCCATCTAGTGGTCATAATGTGGTATTTTTATGAAGCACCTTAATCAGGAAAAATACCACATTAGAGCCACTAGATGGAGATTATGACCATAGCAAATAATCATAATACACAAAATACGCAGTTTTTGGGGGCTGTGAGAATGTTTGTCGCATTTGTACAGCGAGTTTATATATACATAGACCTTGAAGTGTTTCGGTTTGATACCAGAACACATCAGGCAATCATTTTGGAAAAGTCGATGGATGGATATGTAGCCAGGTTATCACTCTTGCCTTACAGCACTGAGATAATGGGTTTTAGACATTCCCTCCTAGATTGTAAGCTCGAAAGAGCAGGGCCCTCGATCCCCTCATGTTTTGCATTGTATTGGTATTGTTCTGTCACATGTTCTGTCCCCCTTTGTAATGTACAGCGCTGAGCGAACTATTGGCGCTTTATAAATACTGTATAATAATAATAATAATTTACAGCAAAGTGGCTAAGTGGTTAGCACTTCCGCCCAGCAGCCCTCAGGTCGTCGGCTTGAATGCCAGCCATGGTACTAACTGCATGGAGTTTGAATGTTCTCACTGTGGCTGTGTCGGTTGCCTCCCACACTCCAAAGACATGCTGGTAGGTGAATTGGCTCCTGTCTAAATTGTCCTTAGTATGTGTATGTATGAATGTGAGTTAGGGACCTTAGATTGTACACCCCTTGAGGGTTAGGGACTGATGTGAGCATACAATATAAACTGTAAAGCGCTGCTGTATATAAGTACCTGGAATAAATAAAATAAAATCTACATGGAGTTTGTAGTGCCTCCCAATGTTTGTCGGTTTCCTGCCTGAAACATTCCAATAGGTTTACTGGCATCTGACCAATTTGGTTCCACTTTGTCTATGAGCTTTTTCAAGGGGTTCAGCTGGGTGCAGCCTTCTCTGTACTGCGCTATGGCTTAGGTTGGTGCTATATAAATTTGGGTAATAAATATGTTGCGGCTGTGGGTCCTCCTGGTCAACATCACATGTGCTATTACATTCTGTCAGTATGTGGCGCTCTTCACTGGTGAAAAGCCGGTTGGACCATTCGGGGTTCGCGGGAAGATCATTGTTACATTGTGGTTACATTGTATGTTAGGCCTCACTGACAGCTCTCTGTGTCCTCCTCTAGGTTTGGCTGACCGTTGCACAGATGAAGGATTTGACGCCATGGCTCTGGATGATAAAGGAACCATGTATTATTTCAGAGGTAAACCACCACCACCCGTCAATGTGCCAACTAAGGATCTGTGTGGTACAATGGAGGGCTAAGAAAGCACAATGCAAGGAGCAGCATGGGGCATCTCAGAGCTGCCAATCAGATCAGCTGATTCCATTTAGCATCCTTGCTGAAAGACTGTTTAGCTATTGATATAAAATGGAGATACATATATATATATATACACTGCTCAAAAAAATTAAAGGAACACTTTTCAACCAGAGTCTAGCACCAAGTCAATGAAACTCCTGGCATATTGATCTGGTCAGGTAAGTAGCAGAGGGGGTTGTTAATCAGTTTCAGCTGCTTTGGTGATAATGAAATTAACAAACAGGTGCACTAGATGGGCAACAGTGAGATGACCCCCAAAACAGGAATAGTTTTACAGGTGGAGGCCACTGATGATATTTTTCCCTACTCATCTTTTCTGACTGTTTTTCACTAGTTTTGCATTTGGCTAGGGTCAGTGTCACTACTGGTAGCATGAGGCCATACCTGGACCCTACAGAGGTTGCTCATGCAGTCCAACTCCTCCAGGATGGCACATCAATACGTGTCATTGCCAGACGGTTTGCTGTGTCTCCCAGCACAGTCTCAAGAGCATGGAGGAGATTCCAGGAGACAGGCAGTTCCTCTAGGAGAGCTGGACAGGGCTGTAGAAGGTCCTTAACCCATCAGCAGGACCGGTATCTGCTCCTTTGTGCAAGGAGGACCAGGATGAGCACTGCCAGAGCCCTACAAAATGACCTCCAGCAGGCCACTGGTGTGAATGTCTCTGACTAAACAATCAGAAACAGACTTCATGAGGGTGGCCTGAGGGCCCGACGTCCTCTAGTGGGCCCTGTGCTCGCTGCCCGGCACCATAGAGTTCGATTGGCATTTGCCATTGAACACCAGAATTGGCAGGTCCACCACTGGCACCCTGTGCTTCTCACAGATGAGAGCAGGTTCACACTGAGCACATGTGAGAGATGTGAAAGGGTCTGGAGAAGCCGTGGAGAGAACGTTCTGCTGCCTGTAACATCTTTCAGCATGACTGTTTTGGTGGTGGGTCAGTGATGGTCTGGGGAGGTATATCCATGGAGGGACACACTGACCTCTACAGGCTAGACAATGGCACCCTGACTGCCATTAGGTATCGGGATGAAATCGTTGGACCCATTGTCAGACCCTACGCTGGTGCAGGGGGTCCTGGGTTCCTCCTGGTGCAGGACAATGCCCGGCCTCATGTTGGAGGAGTATGCAGGCAGTTCCTGGAGGATGCAAGAATTGATAACACTGAATGGCCCCCACACTCACCTGACCTAAATCCAATAGAAGACCTCTGTGATATCATGTTTCGGTCCATCCGACGCCACCAGGTTGAACCTCAGACTGTCCAGGAGCTCAGTGATGCCCTGGTCCAGATCTGGGATGAAATCCCCCAAGACACCATCCGTGGTCTCATTAGGAGCAGGCCCCGATGTTGTCAGCCATGCATACAAGCACATGGGGGCCGTACAAACTACTGAGGACCATTCTGAGTTGCTGCAATGACATTTCAGCGAAATGGACTCGCCTGCTGCATCATTTTTTCACTTTTATTTTCGGGGTGTCTTTGAATTCAGTCCTCTGTGGGTTGGTAATGTTCATTTCCATCAAACAATGGGACATCTTGACGTTCCTAACACATTACCCCGTCCATATCAGTATAGAGATCCAGCAGGAGATTCTTCCCCATTGAGATCTGATGTGTTTTCAAATTGTTACTTTCATTTTTTTTGAGCAGTGTATATATATTATACCTTGAGGATTGTGGATTGGTGTGACATGCCTATTTTCCCACAGGTGACTATGTGTGGTTGGGATTCCAGGGCCCCGCACGCCGGATAAACGAGACCTGGCAGGGTCTGATGGGACCTATAGATGCCGCAGTTCGCAACCACAACCAAGAACACCCGCTAAAGCACCAAAGGATCTATCTGTTTAAGGTGAGCTCCAAACTACGCTCCATACTGCCTGCATTCTACTGCACTCACCCCAGAGCTCCTCCCTACCCCTACACAGGGTCGGTGCTACCACTAGGCAAACTAGGCAGCTGTCTAGGTCGCAGCCATAACCAGGGCCACCGATGGGGCTGTACAGCCGGCCCTGCTGTAACATTAGTTATATTTTCCCTGGACCCCATTAGTTCACCGGAGGGACCCAAGAGGTGAGGAGCAGAAAGGGATTCTTTTTTTTTTATTTCAGGCGCAGGCAGCTAAAGCTGCATTGAGTTTTGAAATGCCGATCAGTGGAGGCCGGCCGTGGCTGCTCACAGCCAGGGGCAGACTGACAACTCATGGGGCCCCGGGCAATAGGGGATCATGGGGCCCCTGTGCCCTTGCCCAAACTCAAAAAAGCCTATGAAAAAGGTACCAGGGGCATCTCATGGGACCCCCTACTGACCCCGGGCCCTCGGGCAGTGCCTGAGTTTCCAAATGGTCAGTCCGCCCCTGCTCACAGCATTTCACTGGCGATGTGATTATCCCCTCCACCACTGAGGAGGGCAGAAGATTCTTGAGGGGAGTACTGAGGCAGGTGATGTTTGCAGGAAGCTATGTACAGCACCTTGCTGACCCCCCCACCAGTCATGATCTGCCTGCACCATATAGACAAGCACCGAGACCCAGTGATGACATCACTGGGTCCAAAAAAAGATATGTAATGAAAATGGAAAGTTTTTTTTTTTTTTTAAAAGCTTTATCAGCAGGCTGACGAGAAGGAAGGGGAGGAATCAGGGAAGGTAAAATAAAAGCAGATTAAACCAGAGCTTTCAGGACAAGCAGAGACAGTGAATCTGTTCAGCGCGAACAGAGACAGAAATAAAAAGCTGACAGGGGTTCTTACCCTTCCACACACCATTGGAGGTTTGTGGTACAGTTCAGCCCCTACTTTCACTGGAGACTTCTTTTATTAGAAGGTGTTGGGATCAGGGGCGGACTGACAACTCATGGGGCCCCCGGGCAATAGGGGATCATAGGGCCCCTGTGTCCTTGCCCAAACTCAAAAAAGCCTATGAAAAAGGTACCAGGGGCATCTCATGGGGCCCCCTACTGACCCCCGAGCCCTCGGGCAGTGCCTGAGTTTCCAAATGGTCAGTCCTCCCCTGGTTGGGATATTATGGAGATGTCACACATTCTAACCTCTTTCTAAAGTCGGTGCTCCTCTCGGTGTCTTGCAGGGCTCCAAGGTTTGGAGTTATTTTGAAGGGAATCTAGTGGCCGGCTTTCCGCGTCTCATTAGTCAGGAGTTTCCAGGAATTCCAGATCATCTGAATGCTGCTGTGGAATGTCACAAAGGGGAATGCAGGCAGGACAGCATCTTATTCTTCAAAGGTGAGAATGATTCTGTGGGGAGGTTGGGGATTTTTAAAGCGTATCTAAACCCAACAGTAAAAATGTGATATATGACAGCTTACAGTCCTTAGATGTGGTGGCTGATAGGATCAAATCCTGTGTGTGGCCCAACCTGTCCTCCATTATTATCATCACCACCAGGCCCGGGAGAAATAAAGCTCCGACACCGAAGTGTAAAAGTTAAATCTCTGAAAGTTGAATCCATGACAAGAACTGTTATACAGATCTCGGTGGGCGTGGCTTAATTTTAGGATGACCAATGAAACATCCCACTAGAAAACTAAACTCAGGAAACGAGAGAGAAGTTCCAAGCAAAACTCAAAACCATAACTAACCGTTTACACGTCTAGCAATGGAGGCATGATACAAAACGGATGCCAGTTAAATAAGACATATTTCCTTACAGTGGCTGCTTTTGCTTCCTTTTACCCCCTTTATTTTCACTTGGTGATCCTGCCAGTAACACACTTCCTGTCCTAGGGTGACAACACTTACTGTACTGTTTCTGTGCAGGAGAAGCACTGTCACCCTAGGACAGGAAGTATGTCGGGACTACCAAATATCTCCCTCTCTCCTCATCCCATGACAGATACACTATATTGCCAAAATTATTGCTCCTCCTGCCTTTACACACACATGAACTTTAATGGCCTCCCAGTCTTAGTCCGTAGGGTTCAATATTGAGTTGGCCCCGCCCTTTGCAGCTATAACAGTTTCAACTCTTCTGGGAAGGCCGTCCACAAGGTTTAGGAGGGTGTCTATGGGAAGGTTGGACCATTCTTCCAGAAGCACATTTGTCAGGTCAGGCACTGATGTCGGGGGAGGAGGCCTGGCTCACAGTCTCCGCTCGAATTCATCCCAAAGGTGTTCTATGGGGTTGAGGTCAGGACTCTGTGCAGGTCAGTCAAGTTCCTCCACCCCAAACTGGCTCCTCCATGTCTTTATGGACCTTGATTTGTACACTGGTGCGCAGTCATGTTGGAACAGGAAAGAGCCATCCCCAAACTGTTCCCACAAAGTTGGGAGCATAAAATTGTCCAAAATGTCTTGGTATACTGACACCTTAAAGGTTCCCTTCACTGGAACTAGGGGGCCAAGCCAAACCCCTGAAAAACAACCCCACACCATAATCCCCCCTCCACCAAACTTTACACTTGGTACAATGCAGTCAGGAAACTAACTTTCTCCTGGCAACTGCCAAACCCAGACACGTTCATCGAAATGCCAGACAGAGAAGCATGATTGGTCACTCCAGAGAACAGGTCTCCACTGCTCTAGAGTCCAGTGGCGGCGTGCTTTACACCACTGCATCCAACGCTTTGCATTGCACTTGGTGATGTAAGGCTTGGATGCAGCTGCTCAGCCATGGAAACCCATTCCATGAAGCTCTCTACACACTGTTGTTGGGCTCATCTGAAGGCCACACCAAGTTTGGAGATCTTTAGCTATTGACTCTGCAGACAGTTGGTGACTTCTGCACACTGTGCGCTTCAGCATGCGCTGACCCCGCTCTGTCATCTGATGTGGCCTACCACTTGGTGGCTGAGTGGCTGTTGTTCCCAGTTGCTTCCACTTTGTTATAATCCCACTAACAGTTGAGCGTGGAATATTTAGTAGCCAGGAAATGTCACGGATGGACTTATTGCACAGGTGGCCACCTATCACGGGACCACGCTTGGTGTCACTGAGCTCCTGAGAGCAACCCATTCTTTCACCAATGTCTGTAGAAGCAGTCTGCATGCCTAAGTGATGATTTTATACACCTGTGGCCATGGAGGGGATTGGAGCACCTGAATACAATGATTTGGAGGACTGACCCACTACTTTTGGCAATATAGTGTACCAGTGAGCAGGGATTTTTTTTTCAGAGGGAACCTAAGGTTCCGGCACGCAGTTTCGGCACTTCCATCACTGAATGTATGTAATAGTAAGGGGTGCTGGGGTGCATTGGAAGATCTATTGATGCTGGCTACTAGGGGATCTGTTGCCATTGGGGGATCTATTGTTGCTGAAGGGGTATATTTTGCTGCTGGTGGGGGTCTATTGTTGCTGGAGGGATCTACTGTTGAAGAAGGATGGGGTCTACTGATGCTGGCTGCGGGGAGCTGTATTGTTTTGGAAGAGGTCTATCATTGCTGGGGGGGGGGTATATTTGTTGTGGGGAGATTTATTGTTTCGGGCTGCAGGGAATCTATTCCACTGTTGTTTTGTTAGCACATTCCATACAAGTTACTGTACTTAGCACCACAGAATGATATTCGGTTCTGTATTTTCCAAAGAGGCCATACCGGGAGGTGGGTAGGGGGTGGAACCGAGGGACAGTGCTCAAAGGTGGGTAGGGGGTGGAGACAAGGGGTGATTCAGAAGGGGTGGAGGATACCTGCACCTATTCTCTGAGAAAAAAAAGCCCTGCCAGTGAGCAATGAAATTCCATCTCTGATCTACATTCTGCCATTAATTTGCTGTACATGGCTATCCCACAAATGCATATGGTACCAATATCCTGGTTTTCTGAACAGCCCTGAATCTGGTTCCATGAAATTGCTGTAGTGTGTTCCCTGGTCCCCAATGTTAGACTGACAGCTATAAACCTACTAAGTGACATATCGGCATGGATGTCACTCCACTTCCTCAAACTCAATCTCTCCAAAACTGAGCTCCTAGTATTCCCTCCAGCCCGTGCCCCCCCCCCCCCCCCCCCCCCGACTTCTCCATCAAGATCAATACTACAACCATCAGTTCCTCCCCTCACGCCAGGGTACTAGGTGTAATCCTAGACTCCCATCTGTCCTTTCACCCCCAAATCCAATCACTGTCCAAATCTTGTAGACTTCACCTCCGCAACATCTCCAAGATACGCCCGTTCTTAACCAACCAAACTACTAAGCAACTTATTCACTCCCTTGTTATATCTCACCTTGACTATTGTAACTCCCTCCTCATTGGCCGACCTCATCGCAGGCTATCCCCTCTTCAGTCTATCATGAATGCTGCTGCCAGACTCATCCACCTTACTAACCGTCCTGTATCTGCCACCCCTCTCTGCCAATCCCTCCACTGGCCTCCACTCAGTGTCCTCCACCCCTCTCTGCCAATTCTTCCACTCAGTGTCCTCCACCCCTCTCTGCCAATCCTTCCACTCAGTGTCCTCCACCCTTCTCTGCCAATCCTTCTACTGGCCTCCACTCAGTGTCCTCCAACCCTCTCTGCCAATCCCTCCACTGGCCTCCACTCAGTGTCCTCCACCCCTCTCTGCCAATTCCTCCACTGGCCTCCACTCAGTGTCCTCCACCCCTCTCTGCCAATCCCTCCACTGGCCTCCACTCAGTGTCCTCCACCCCCCCTCTGCCAATTCCTCCACTGGCCTCCACTCAGTGTCCTCCACCCCTCTCTGCCAATCCCTCCACTGGCTTCCCGTTGCCCAACGGATAAAATTCAAAACATTAACAATAACATATAAAACCATTTATAACTCTGCCCCAAATTACATCACCGATCTTGTCTCCAAATATCACCCAAATCGTACTCTCCGCTCCTCGCAAGACCTCCTGCTCTCTAGCTCCCTTGTCTCCTCCTCCCATGCTTATCTCCAGCACTTCTCCAGAGCCTCCCCCATCCTCTGGAACTCTCTACCCAAAATTTATCGGACTATTGCCTACTCTGCTCACTTTTAGGCGATCTCTGAAAACCTATCTCTTCAGGGAAGCCTATCCTGCCCTCAGCTGATACTGGAATCTTCTACTCTTCCAACCAGTCCATCCCCCACAGTTACTACCTTTTGTACCACTAGCACCTCCCTCCTAGATTGTAAGCTCCCAGGAGCAGGGCCCTCCTATCCCTCTTGTATTGATCTGTATTGTTGCTGTATTGTCTCCCGTTATATTGTAAAGCACTGAGCAAACTGTTGGCGCTATATAAATCCTGTATAATAATAATATAAAGCCCTAAATGTCTGTTGTTGCTGCTGCCACTCCTCCCTCACTCTCCCAGCCTAAGCTCTGCTGTGCTGCATGTTACTGGAGGCAGCTATGAATAAGGTTTCAGGTAGAAATACAAGTTGTATGTAAATAAATACATCAAATAATATTTTTTTGTTATTATTATTATTAATAATAATAATATAATAATAATAATAATAATACATAACTAGTCTGTAAAAATATCCTGGGTAAAATAGGAGACTCCAGTTGCTGGACTCCTGAAAATGCAAGAGATTCCTTGCTATCTCTGGCCTGAAGAGTCAGGCAATCCAAATGTGTAAGTTTTAAAATAAAAATTAAAATAAACAATCCAAACCCAATACACCATATTTAACCAGCTGACGATTCCTTGTGTGTCTCAGAGACTCTGTTAAGATCTTTGTGCTGAGTTCTCAGGTCTGTAAACCTGCTGAGCCCATTATGAGGGGTTATTATGAGGGGTTCCCACCATCCTTGCGCTGAGTTCCTGGGTCTTTACACCTGCTGTACCCATTAGGAGCGGTTCCCACAATCCTTGCACTGAGTTCCTGGGTCTGTACACCTGCTGTGCCCATTATGAGGGGTTCCCACCATCACTATACTGAGTTCCCAATCTGCACACCCGCTGTGCCCATTTTGAGGGGTTCCCTCCATCCCTGTGCTGAGTTCCTGGGTTTGTACACATGCTCTGTCTATTATGAGTGGTTCCCACCATCCCTGTGCTGAGTTTACAGGTCTGTACACCTGTTGTGGCCATTATGAGGGGTTTCCAACATACCTACACTCAGTTCCCAGGTCTGTACGCTTGCTGTGGCCATTATGAGGGGTTCCCACTCTCCCTGTCATAATTTGGAGAACACAAAAAGGTGGGAGGAGATACCCAAAACTCCCAGATAGACAAGGAATTGTCTTGGGTACTCGGGAATTATGGCTTCTGGGAGTGTCCAAGACCTATAAGAAGATGGGGAGATTTAGCCCAGTGGGCTCCTCCTAAAACTAATATCCATTTTTGGGTGAACAAACGTTTTGTGTAGTCAACTTTAAATATTATTTGTCCCACTTTAGTCAGTTTCCTACTCCGCAATGGGATTGTGTATATTTATCAGTGTCAGGAGTGTTGGTGACACGCTCTCTTGTCTCTTGCCCAGATGACAAGGTCTATGTATACAGCCCTCAGGAGGACCCGGCACTGAAGCAGAAGACCTGGACCAATCTGGGACCTTGTACGGCGGCTGTCAGATGGATGGAGAAATATTACTGCTTCAATGGCATCAACTTCACCAGATTTGACCCAGTGACCGGAGAGCGGCTATCTCCCCGACCACTGGACACCCGAGACTATTTTGTGCGGTGCCCTGGCAGAGGTAAGATAGAGGGGAGATCAAGGGGATCCAACTGAATCTCGTTTAAATTTGTCCTTTTCTTTAATGCTAGGCTCTCTATGAACCAGCTCTGAATAATACAGCTCTATCTGCTGCTAGAGTAGGCAGACTGTACAGAGAGTGATGATCCCCAACAAGATGGCACCTCTCACCTCTTGCCTGTTTCTCTTCCCCCAGGACATGCAGATGCTGCTCGGCAGAACACTACCCATATGTCCATCCTTAATCGCTGCAGCAATCGTCCGTTTGAAGCTTTCAGCTCAGATGACAAGTCCAGAACCTACGCCTTCCGAAGTAAGATCTTTCTTACCTGTGCTGGTTGTCAGTAGATCATGAGATACTCTGTCCTGGGTCACTAGAGGTCTCCTGTCTGAGTGGGAGTACATTACTCATGGTATCTAGCTCTGAACATACGTAAGAAGTCTCCTGTCCTGCGTGGTTGTAGATTAATCAAGGTCTTCTGTCCTGAGTGGGATTAGACCACTTAGTGGGAGTAGATCACTAAAGGTCTTCTCTCCTTAGTCAGTGTAGATCACCAGAGTTCTCCTGTCTTTAGTGGGAATAGATCACTAGGGGTCTTCTCTCCTTAGTAGGGATATAGTAGATTCCTGTTGTTAGTGGGTGTAGATCACTAGAGGTCTCCTGTCCTTAGTGGGTATAGATCGCTAGAGGTTTCCTGTCCTTAGTGGGTGTAGATTACTAGAGGTCTCCTGTCCTTAGTGGGCATAGATCACTAGAGGTTTCCTGTTCTTAGTGGATGTAATCACTAGAGGTCTCCTTTCCCTAGTGGATGTAGAACACTAGAGGTCTCCTATCCTTAGTGGGTGTAGATCACTAGAGGTTTCCTGTCCTTAGTGGGCCAAGTTCACTAGAGGTCTCCTGTCCTTAGTGGGCCTAGATCACTAGAGGTCTCCTGTACTTAGTGGGTGTAGATAAATAGAGGTCTCCTGTTCTTAGTGGGTTTAGATAACTAGAGGTCTCCTGTCCTTAGTGAGCATAGATCACTAGAGGTTTCCTGTTCTTAGTGGATGTAATCACTAGAGGTCTCCTTTCCTTAGTGGATGTAGAACACTAGAGGTCTTCTGTCCTTAGTGGGTGTAGATCACTAGAGGTCTCCTGTCCTTAGTGGGCCTAGATCACTAGAGGTCTCCTGTCCTTAGTGGGCCTAGATCACTAGAGGTCTCCTGTACTTAGTGGGTGTAGATAACTAGAGGTCTCCTGTCCTTAGTGGGTTTAGATTACTAGAGGTCTCCTGTCCTTAGTGGCCTAGATCACTAGAGGTCTCCTGTACTTTGTGGCTGTAGATCACTAGAGGTCTCCTGTCTTTAGTGGACATAGATCACTAGAGCTTTCCTGTCCTTAGTGAGAGCACATTACTAGCAGTATCTTGCCCTGAACATAAATAGAGGTTCCCTCTCTTGAGTGAGAGTAGATCACTAGATTGTCCTGGATAACTACAGGTCTCTTGTCCTGAGTAAAAGCTAATCATTAGATTGCCCTGGATCACTAGAGGTCTCGTGTCCTGAGTGGGAGCACATTACTAGCAGTATATTTCCTGAAACATAAATAGAGGTCTCTTTTCTTGGGTGAGAGTAGATCAACAGAGGTCTCCTGTCCTGAATTCAAGTAGATAACCAAAGATCCCCCACCCTGAGTAAGAATAGAATACTAGAGGTCTCCTGACCTGAATGATAATAGATTACTACTCGTAAAATTAGATCACTAGATGTCTTCTCTCCTGAATGAGAGTAGAACAATAGAAGTGTCCTTGCCCAAACTCAAAAAAGGATATGAAAAAGGTACCAGGGGCATCTCATGGGGCCCCCTACTGACCCAGGGCCCTCGGGCAGTGCCCGAGTTTCCAAATGGTCAGTCCGCCCCTGCTGATAACAGCAGAGAGCACAGAAACATATCTTGTTATATTTGTGTAGATCATTTTTCTGGTAGAAGTTTGATAACACAGTATCTCCTCCTTCCTGGCAGGTGGCTGGTACTTCCGCCTGGACAGCAGAAAAGATGGCTGGCATGCATGGCCTCTTAATCACACATGGAGGACCCTGGAAGGAGTGGTAGATGCTGCTTTCTCATACAGGAACCATATGTACTTTATTCAGGTGAGTCAGACTGTCCTCCAGCTAATGACAGCAGGTCAAAGTACGCCAACCAATATAGTTAAATGCAAACTTCTCCTTTCAATGTTTATCTCATACATTTTTGTTTTCCTTTTTCATTTTCCAAAAACTTGTGGCAAAAACGAGATTTGCAAAATACTCACCATGCTTCTTATCAAATTCTTTGGGGTGTCTACTTTCCAAAAAGGGGTCATTTGGGGGGGGGGGGGGGTTGTGCTATCCTGGCGTTTCAGGGCCTCAGAAGCTGTGATAGGTAGTGAGGAAGTGAAATGAGGACGTTACGCACCTTCAGACCTTCAACGTGGTCATTGGATTTCAGGCTCCTGTATGTAGTTAGGCTCCCAAAAAGTCTCACACATGTGGTATCCCCATACTTGGTAGAAGTAACAGAATGTATTTTGGGGTGTAATTCCACATATATCCATGGCTTGTGTGAGCAGTAAATCATTTAAGAGACAATTTTGTGTAAAAAAACAAACAAAAAAAAAAGTTTTTTTTTTCATTTTCCAAAAACTTGTGGTAAAAAAAAATGAATTCTTCTATTGACCCAAAATTCCTCTCAGCAAATAGTTTGGGGTGTCTACTTGCCAAAAAGGGGTTGTTTTGGGAGGTGGGGGCATTTTATGCCCAGCATTAGAAGTTTATGCCACAGATCACTCTTTCTTCTAACTACCGGAAGACCAAGCCTTTTCTGACACTTTTTGTTCCCATGATAAAGATCAGTATTTTTTGCTAGGAAATTACTTTGAACCCCCAAAAATGATATATTTTTTTTTAAAGCAGACACCCCAGTGAATAAAATGGTGGATGCTGCAATTTTTTATGTGACATAGTACTCGCGCAGCGATTTTTCAAACGCAGATTTTTTGCAAAAAAATACTTTTTTTACTTTTAATGCACAAAAAAAACACAATATATTGGCCAATTATTTGGTAAAATATAAAAGATGATGATATGCCAAGTAAATGGATACCTTTAAAACTGTGCATGCCCTGTGCAATGGGACAAACTGCATATATTTGTAATATCCATAGGCAACGCTTTAAAAGCCTTTATAAGCTACCATTTTAGATTTAGAGTGGAGGTCTAGTGCGACACCTCACATGCATGGTGCAATTGCTGTTTACATACTGGCACAGGGTCAACACTCAAGCACGCAGGTGCGCATGCGTGTGGGTGGGTGGGGGGGGGGGGTGCGAGGGTGCTTTTTTTTTTTTAAGTTATTTTGATTTTGTTTATTATTTTTTACACTGTCCCTTTCATGTTTTTTTTTAATCACTTTTAATGCTATCACAGGGAATGCAAACATCCCCTATAACTTCAATGATCATTGTCATATTTTCTTTTTGAGAAATCTGGGGTCTATAAGACTCTAGATATCTCCTCTGCCCTTACATTATCTAATCTCACCAAGATCGGTGTGATCAGATGCTTTCCCAATTTACAAATGGCGCTGTTTATAATCGAAAAACTGAAGTGATGAAATGCTTGTAGCTTCTGATTTCTTAGACTATAGAGATGATTGGCACCATTCTGGTCTCCAGTCAGCTCTATGGTCAGCTGGCAGAAACACCGGCTGCATTCTCAGGTTCTCCCGATGGCACGGGAGTGCCCGAGAAGGCCATGGAAGTCAGCGGGGGGGGGGAGCATTGTCTCCAGCTGGTTGTAAAAGCAATTCTGCAGCTAATTAGCCACTAGGATTGCTTATACATGAAAGCCGATTGCCGACTGAAAAAAAACAATACCAGGATGATGCCTGCAGCTGTAGGCATCATCCTGGTGTAACCACTCAAAGTCCAGTGATGTACCAGTACGTTGCTGGTCCTTGTTGGGTTTATATGCTACGTTCTTTTCTTTTTTTTTTTTGTATGCTGCCTGTGGGACTGAATGAAAAAAAGAAGAAATCTCTGCCAGAAAAAATGTGTGTCCACCATTAGAATATACCGCCCTGCATCCACCCACTTCTAATGGTGGGCACGCATTAGGTCACACGGTGCCACATTCACTAATTCCAAAATTGTATAAATGTCTAAACAGTGGCACGCTTGAATAAAAATTGTCCACGCATAAGTGGTACCCCATTTAACCATTAGCCGCCCGGCCAATGGCCGTTTGGCGGCTTCAAAAGTGTTCCTGCATTCCGGGTGCACGCCATTTGGCGTGCTCCCGCACATGTGCAGTTTGCGCTAATGCAGAGCGGCGCAGCGGCGCAGCAGCGCGATCTGTCACCGGCCGTGCACCTCGGACACGGCCGATGACAGATCCGAGTACCGGCTCCCGTTGCTGGTACCATGTGACCTGCTGTGACCAATCACAGCAGGTCACATGACAGTTGTATACAATGGATGGCTTCATTCATGCCATCCATTGTATACTAGTGCCTAGCTGTGAATGGTCACAGCTAATCACATGCACATGTCATGTGATTAGCTGTGACCAAATCACAGCTAAGCACAAAAAAAAAAAAAGCTGAATGAATGAATCGATTTCATTCAGGTAAATGCTTGCTTATAGCAAAGTAATTCTTTGCTATAAGCAAATTGTGTAAAAAAAAAAAAAAATACTGATCACTTCCCCAAAGTAGTACAATGTTACTATGGTAACATTGTACTACTTTGGTCATAGTAAAATATGAAAAAAAAATCTTAAAAAAATAAAAAAAAATGTAATAAAAATTAAAAATAATAAAAAATAAAAATAAATAAATAAAAATATATATATATATATTTTTTTTCATACTGTCACCAGTCAGTGTTCCTGTTCACCGCCATGCCAGTTATATGATGATGCTGTATTGCACTGGTGACAGTATGTAAAAAAAAAAAAAATAGTGAAAATATTTTTTTTTAATTTTTTCATTTTCCGAAAAATTATGACAAAAAAATACAACTTCAAAAAACTCGCCATGCCTCTTATGAAGTACGTTGGACTGTCTACTCTGCAAAAAGGGGTCATTTGGGGATATCTGTACTGTTCTGACATTTGGGGGATATCTGTACTACATTTGGGGGATATCTGACATTCTTGGACCTCAAGAAATTAGATTGGCCGTCAGTACTTCAGGATTGATCAATATTCAGATCTATACCATAGTTTGTGAACTCTATAACTTTCCTACAAACTAAATAATACATCCTAATTTGGGTTATTTTCACCAAAGACATGTAGCAGAATACATCTCGGCCTAAATTTATGAAGAACAATTATTTATTTGTAAACTTTTATAACAGAAACAAAGAAAAATGTGTTTTTTTTTTCAAAATGTTTGGTCTTTTTTTGTTAATTTAGCAAAAAATAAAAACCCCAGCGGTGATTAAATACCACCAAAAGAAAGCTCTAGTTGTGTGAAGAAAATGATAAAATTTTAGTTTGGGTACAGTGTTGTATGACCGCGCAATTGTCATTCAAAGTGTGAGAGCGCTGAAACCTGAAAAATGGCCTGGGCAGGAAGGTGTAAAATTGCCCGGTATTGAAATGGTTAAGTGATCAAGATGTGTCTTATAAAATCTCCCTTCTAACTTTCCTTTAATGAGGAAGCATTTGTCCCCACCCTGCCTTTGACACCATCCATTCCACCATCCTTCCATTGCTACAAAATTTTAAGCTGACATAACAGTACAATTCTAACCATTCTACACAAAGTCATGCAGTTATCTTATTTTGCTCCTAAAGTTTTCTGGGAGACGGTACACTGTTAATATAAATATCAAGCGTAGGCGAGCGCTGGAACTATAAAGCAACTAGCACCACGGTATAGGTAACAACTCCTTATGGATAAATATATAGAAAGTGCAGTGCTAAAATAAGTGAATGATATTATAGTGAAAATAAAGTGCAAAGTCAATCTGACATATTGTGAAAAAAAAAATGTTGATCAGCAGAACAGTCAAGTGCAGCATATAAAAATCAAATATAAAAAGTGTTCAATAAATCATTCAATAAATGTGAAACTTTACTGTTTCACATTTATTGAATGATTTATTGAACATTTTTTATAATTGATTTTTATATGCTGCACTTGACTGTTTCACTGATCAAACATTTTTTTTTTTTTTTTCGCTATATGTCACATTGACTTTGCACTTTATTTTCACTATAATATCAATCACTTATTTTAGCACTGCACTTTCTATATATTTAGTATGCCTTTAAAATTTTTGTATTTATGCAGCCTTTTATTTAAATGCTGTATGTTTTGATCGAAGAAGGACTGGACTGCGGAGTGTTTGCCCCATGGGCCAATACTAAAGTTGGGCTGGTAGCCCTGAGTGAGGATACTTTCTAAGTTAAAAATTAATCAGAGTGGGACCCGTTGATTAGTCATTGACACCTGTTCCCTAGTCAAATCTGTGATTATAGCATCTGGCTGTGGAAGACAGCTCCATCTTCCATTGCGACTCTAAGATGTCACATGGCCAGTTGTCAAGAGGTGCAAGGCAGCTGATGCTGGAAGATGTGGTTTACCACTGTAAACCATGGCCTTAAGAAACACCCTCTTTTGCCATGCCCATCAACCAATGAGGAACCATGACACCCTTTGCTTGGTGCACTTTATTCAACCCATATAAATCTGTCCCTACTATGATATAGCTAGTTGGTTGTGTTTGCTCCCAGGCCAAAGGTTCCCAGTCCTCCCTTGATTTGGATCACTTTTAGTGAATACAATTCTCCACCCACCCCTTCTGTTAGTCTCATCCTTTTCCGTCCATCCAGTTTGTCAGAATAATGTCTTTTCCCTTTGTCCTTCTCACCTGCCTTTGTTGAACTCCTTCATTCAATCCATTGACTCTTCCTCACCTCTGTTTCTTGGGTTCCTTCATTCACCTCATGGACGCCTCTCATCACCAGGGGTGAACTGACAACTCATGGGGCCCCCGGGCAATAGTGAATCAAGGGGCCCCTGTGTCCTTGCCCAAACTCAAAAAAGCCTATGAAAAAGGTACCAGTCGCATCTCATGGGGCCCCCTACTGACCCCGAGTTTCCAAATGGTCAGTCCGCTCCTGCTCATCACCCATTAGTGGCCTCCTTCATTGTGCTCATGTATACCTCCTCACCTCCACATTCACCCCATTGACCTAAAGTATTAAATAATTGTCAAGCAAATGCCCGGCTGAGCGATCAGCCCCCCCAGTGGAATAAATATGTGATGAATCAAGTAAATGTTCAACTGGGCTAGATATTCACAAAAAGTGCGTATTAAAGAAAAAAAAAAGCAGCTCTACTGAATATACAAAAAACAGATAAATGGTAAATGATAGGTAACACTTACTAAAGTGCAAAATGCAGTCCAAAAGTGATACAACAGTCTCTTTCTTCCAACATTTAAAGTAATGCACCAGTGACTTCATCAGGTGTTCAAATCTATCGTGCTCCTCCATCTTCCGGGATGCAGTGACCTTAACAGCTGACCCATAGAAAATATAGGTCAACATGCGCTCAATATTAATCCCACTGGTTCTTCTGCTTCCACAGGTCAATCCTTTATGTCCCCACTCCTATGGATAGGTGCTCAAAAGATAAGTAACAAGGAACTCTTCATAGTGTCCTATGGCTTTATTAGCATAAAAATGTATAAAAAATGCCACTCACATGGATACAAGGTTCACAGAACCTATTGCAAGCATTAAAGGGAAACACAGGGTGAACACGGGTGGTTCCTGAGCGCACCAGAAAAGACGTCACACGCTTCCGTCCTGCACGTTATGCCACGAGTCACGTGGCTTCTTCAAGAATCCCTGAAAGTTGAAAAACTGATCCAGGGAATATCCAATTGCTTCTCGGGGGATCAGGAAGGAATTTTTTCCCCTTGCAGAAGCAAATTAGATCATGCTTTGCTTTTTGCCTTCCTCTGGATCAACTGTGGGTGTAGGATTATAACTTTTTTTTATGGTTAAACTGGATGCACTTTTTGTGAATATCTAGCCCAGTTGAACATTTACATGATTCAACACATATGTATTCCACTGGGGGGCTGATTGCTCACCTGGGCATTTGCTTTACAATTATTTAATACTGTTTTTGTTGATTTTCATACTTTGTTCTTTAGGTAAGCCGGGTATTTATTACAGCTCGGCAAGCTGTTTACTGCTATTGTGATCGTTTTTTATTTCTAATATACGTTTCACATTTTTTACTGTTTTTGTTGTTTTTTTTTAAACTTTATTCTTCAGCTCAGCCGAGTGTTTACTATAGGCTGGCCAGGTGTTTATTGCTACTTGATTTTGGTTAATTTGTTATATATGTTTCACTTTTCATTTGGATTTAGTGGCTCAGACAGTTTTTTATTTACTATTGACTTTATTTGTTTCACAGATATATTCTATTACACATTGGGTTTGATGCTCAGGAGGGTGTTTATTTATTATTAGTATATTTTTTGGGTCATTAGGGTGCAACACAGCACTATTCTTGGGGAGTTTTATTGATGTGCTTGCAGCAGCTTATCATCTATTTGTGGCAGCACATGAGTATTATATCCTTATTTTTATTTAGCCTATTCACCCCATTGACTCCTCCTTACCTCCTGATTTTGAACTCCTTCATTCACCCCATTGACTCCTCCTTACCTCCTGATTTTGAACTCCTTCATTCACCCCATTGACTCCTCCTTACCTCCTGATTTTGAACTCCTTCATTCACCCCATTGACTCCTCCTTACCTCCTGATTTTGAACTCCTTCATTCACCCCATTGACTCCTCCTTACCTCCTGATTTTGAACTCCTTCATTCACCCCATTGACTCCTCCTTACCTCCTGATTTTGAACTCCTTCATTCACCCCATGGACTCCTCCTCAGCTCCCTTTGTTGGACTATTTTCTTTACCCTATAGACTCCTACTCAGCTCCCTTTGTTGGGCTCCTTCATTCACCTAATGGAATCCTCTCATCATCCTTTTTTGGACCCCTTCATTCTGCTCATGGATACCTCCTCACCTCTACATTCACCCCATTGACTCTTCCTTACCTCCTGATTTTGAACTCCTTCATTCACCTGATCAACTCCTCCTCACCTCCCTTTGTTGAACTTTTTCATTCACTCCACGGACTCCTCCTCACCTTCCTATGTTGGACTCTTTCATTCACTCCATGGACTCCTCCTCGCCTCCCTTTGTTGAACTCCACCATTCACCCCATGATCTCCACCTCACCTCCCTTTGTTGAACTCCACCATTCATTCTGTTTATCTGTCTCTGTAGCACCCGCACATTTAGTTCTAGAATTGAAGAACCCAAAGGCATGCAACAATTCCCTTTGTCCTTCTTGTCCCTCTTGATGATATTTACTATTTCATATGAGCTTATGAGGCATAATGCCCAACTAAGAAACCTAATGTGTTTCGAAAGCTTGTATCTATAATGTCTTACGTTAGCCAATAAAATGCATTATGTCAGCTCAAAACATTCTGCCTGCTATATGTATAAAGCTTGTGACCTGTAAATTCCTAACTTCATCTCTCCCCCCCCCAGGGGTCACAAGTGATCATCTACTCAACTGATCAGATCTACATCCCAGTTGCTGCATATCCAAAGCCCATCCAGGAGGAGTGGGAAGTCCCAGGGGTCACAGCAGTGGATGCCGCCTTCACTTGCCCCCATTCCAGTGACCTGTACCTCATTAGAGGTAAGTGTCTCATAACAAACACTGGGCAGGTAGGTGCTCTATGTGTACACAGGTGGCATTGGTTTTATAAGCTTCCTGCAATATACCTCTAAACTAAGAAACATTTATAAATTATTTATTTTATGTACATTAGATCATCCATTTTATTTTGCTAAAGTGTCTGTACTGAACATAAAGGTAGATGTGGGAAGGGCAGCTACTGGGGCAAATTCAGCCCAATCAAAGTGTCTGAAATGAGAAATAAAAAGTCTCAAGAAGCAGAGCATACTGACAACAGGTCCTGAACACAATAGCAGCTCTAAAAGAAACAATTCTACCTCTTTAGTAATGCAGGCCATAGACGGGTCTTTTATCGGCCGAATTTTCATCAGCACGAAAAAATCGACCGAATTTTCGCAGATCTTCACATTTATTTTTATCGGTCATGCTGGAAAATCCACAAAAAAAGGCAGTTTTTGGTGGACATTGGTGGCAGCATCGGCAACGGGGGCTGACAGATTTTTAGTTTATCGGACGAAAATTCGGCCAATGAACGGCCGTCTATGGCCTACTTTGTTATGTTTTCTTACAGCAGGTACATCAGAGATACTTTCATCTGTGACTTTTGAGTTGCTTTGCCTTGTCACGTGTTGATGCGATTTGCATTTCAATGCAATATAGGCCAATACAAGTTAGTGCAGCCAAAATGCAGCAACACTCATTTTTGTGACCAGTTGAAAGTAAAGGATCCTCTCTTGCCTATCCAATTTCCTGCATTGGTTGGCTTCCCTGAGATAAGCTAGGACTGCCAGTAGGCCCTAGCCCACCTCTACTTCCCAATTGCCTAATCAGGAATATGGATGCCAACATAATGTATCTGCCAGGCCTGGTAGTAAGAATATAGTCATGAATGTCTGCTTGGATTTGAACCCTATGTTGTAATAAAGCTATCATATGTTTGTAAGATGCTGCCATGTGCCGGCCTTGTTGGAATTTACTGTTTAATTGTGTCTACAGGGGTGTTAGTCTGAGTATCAGTGTCTCTCATTTACCTGTATAGGAGACTGGGTTGAGAGTAGTGGACTGTTGTGTTTGTGAACAATCCATTAAGGATGTAAGGGACTCTTACTGATGCAGTAAGGATTTAGTAATTGAGGTGGGTTCATTATCCAATAAGTGTATCACTGGTAGGGACTGGATAGAGACTGGTAGTGTTCTACTAAGGATCTGGTCATTAATGGAGACTGTTAACAATCCAGTAAGGATCTAATCATTGATGGGGATTTCTAGTGATTCAGTAAGGATTTTGGAATTGATGGTCTTTCGTAGTTAGCCAGTAAGGGTCTAATCATTGATGGGGACTTGTAGTGATTCAGTAAGGATTTATTAATTGATGGTTATTCGTAATTATCCACTAAGGGTCTAATCACTGATGGGGACTTGTAGTCTTCTAGTAAGAATTCAGTAATTGATGGTGATCAGCAGGGGCGGACTGACCATTTGGAAACTCGGGCACTGCCCGAGGGCTTGGGGTCAGTAGGGGGCCCCATGAGATGCCCCTGGTACCTTTTTCATAGGCTTTTGTGAGTTTGGGCAAGGACACAGGGGCCCCATGATCCCCTATTGCCCGGGGGCCCCATGACTTGTCAGTCTGCCCCTGGTGATCAGTAGCACTGGTAAGGATCTTATTATTGATGGGGGCTTGTAGAGATTCTGTATGGATCAAATAATTGATGGGGATGTATAGTTATCCATTAAGGGTCTAATCATTAATGGGGACTGATTGTGATTCACCAAGGGTCTGGTAATTGATGGAAACAGGAACTGGTAGCGATTCAGTAAGGATCTAATTATTGATAGAGATTGGTAGCGATTCAGTAAGGATCTTGATGGGGACTGTTATTGATCCAGTATGAATCCAATCATTGATAAGGACTGGTAGTGATCCAGTAAGGATCCAATCATTGATGAGGACTGGTAACAATTCAGTAAGGATCTAATCATTGTTGGGGATTGGTAGTGATTTCGTGAGAATCTAATCATTGATGGGGACTGATAGTGATTCTGTAAGAATGTAACCGTTGATGGGGACTGGTAACGATCCAGTAATCTAATCATTGTTAGGGACTGGCAGTGATCCAGTAAGGATCTAATCATTGATGGGGACTGGTAGTATTCCATGAGGATCTACTAATCATTTATGGGGACTGGTAGTAATTCCATGAGGATCTAATCATTTATGGGGACTGGTAGTAATTCCATGAGGATCTAATCATTGATGGGGGCTTGTAGTGATTCCATAAGGATCTAAGCATTGATGGGGACTGGTAGGGATCCAGTAAGGATCTGATCATTGATGGTGATGGAACAGGCTTCACGTGGGACTTCACCTTCTCTCTTCTACAGGTAACAGAATGTTCCTGGTGGACCTGAACACTCGGAAGCAGTCTGGAGCAGCCAGAACCATCATTCACTCTGAGGTGGACAGTGCAATGTGTAATGTTCATGGACTGTACATCTTCCACGGTCCTTCCTATTACCACTACAGGGATGTGAAGGAGCTACTGGCTGCCACAGAGGCCCCCACCGCTGAAAACATTGCCTCCTATTTTTTGGACTGCTAGAGGAGAGCAAGGAGCCCACATCACCCGTCACAGATCTACACAAAGCACATATGGAGCTATTACTTGATTATTTAATAAAATGGAAAAATAAGCCAAGTATTGTCCATAATATTTATTTATTGGCAAAAACCTTTACTTCTAAATGCATGAAAAAAAAATGTATTATAATAATAATGTAAAAAAACACTAACACAATCTAAAACCAATGTCTGCTTTTTTACCTGATGTCTGAAGCAGACTAAAGGAGGTATTCCTGTGGTGGGCAGTCCTCGTCGTTACATCAGCACCACTCTCTGCATCATTACACCATTACAGGGTGCTGTGGTGATGCCCCCTAGGGGGCAGGTATATGATACGCTGCATCCACAATATGTCCTCAGTCAATCTGGAGGACTGATGACATCTAGGAATGGTGAAGAATTAGTATGAAGAGCAGCACTGAAGTGGAGGTGAATACTTAAGCAAGAGGTGGGGGACTGTTTAAAAAAATTGCCCAGAGTTGGGATTAAGGCACTAAACCTCCTTTCTAGATTAAGCCCTGTGTTTCAGCTAGTAATTTTTTTTGCTTCTTCCCCATAAGTAAACACTGACTGATTCCCTGTATTAAGAGTTCCTGTAATAACAAGGATTTAGCTTGTGCAGTAAAATCATACCTGAGGCTCCCAGCATTTTTCCTGATCCGACTGAAAGTGGCCCTTGGAGCTGGAGATGGACCGCTCTGCCATAACACAATGAAACGCCATGAAAAGAATTTAACATTTTATTGGATCGTTACACACACGATACATAGTAGATACACAGCTCTGTGGTTTTGTTTTGTTACATCAGAGGCGGTCTCAAGACAAATGTGGTATGTGAAGACTGGTTGTCCAGAACACTCTAGTAACCCATTGTAAATAAGACTGCGCTAATTCACCATACACAGACGTGGTCCATAGTAGTAGTAATAATGGACCAACTCTTCTTGTTGGAGCTCTCTATACTTTCTCGGCTTTAGCTGCGATAATAGCAGTCTCATTCCTCCTGCTGCACTCTTTTGTAGCATTAAGTGAAAAGATGTGAATGCACATTACCCCTCGCCCTCACCTTCCTGAACCCCCCACGTCCACCCAAAATTGAAATAAAACTTCTGCACAGATTTATTATACATTGCTCAGCCAAAGATACAAACAGTGCCAGTTGCCATTCGGTGCTTATACTCATAGAGAACATAGGAGGCTTGGGGGAAATTTCCTGCCATATCCAGTTTCCCCGGCACTGTATGAATGGTGACTCCACTGCCCAGGCCGGCTCTCAGTTTCTTCAACATGCGATCAGCCAGGTACTGCTTAGCATAGCTGGGATCAGCCTCAATGTTGGCATAGACCTCAGGTGGTGGGTTTGGGAGTTTCCACTCCAGTTCCCCAATGAGCTTATTGACCTTTCCCTTGTCTAGAGAGACAGGGCTCTCGTTGAAGCTCAGGACCACCTGTGTGCCGCATTCCCCACTTACTGAGATGTAGTTCCCATGGATGAGGACCCCAACTGCCTTATCGGTTTGTGGGTGGGAGACCATTACTGCCCAGCGCAGCCAATCATAATTCTTCTCCATTAGTTTGAATATGGCAGTAGCTTTTTCATCATCAGGTAAGGCTTCATTTAGTGGTAGGTACTTCTCTACATCTTCCTGGGCTTGGGACTTGAAATAGGAGGCACAGTCTCTGGAAGTATCCTCCATTCTCTTATAAAGAGCAGCCATCTTGTCAGTCCATCTGCCCATCATGACCTGGGTATCCCGCCCAGTTAGGGAGCCATGGACAAAAAGGCACAGTAGACCCGTGGCCAGGACAAAGTTGACCTGCTGGCAGAAGGCAATCATCTGCCAGCGACGTGGGTGGTTGTCTCGTATCACCTGCTGCAGAAGAGTGACCTGGTCTGCCAGCACAGAGATGCCCAGCAAGCGGTTATAGAGGGCATTGAGCTGACGGTCAATCTTGTAGTCAGTCACATATTGCAGGAAGACCTCCTTCTCTTTGTCTTTGTACGGTTTACCTGCCCGGACCACCGTGGCCAACTGCTGGTACACTACCGTGATGCTATCTTCACATTTGGTGATATCAGAGTCCCTCATTAACCCTTTGCCTGCAGCCAGCTGCCGGTCAATGGACTCCAAGGTCTTCTTGACAAACTCTATTTCATCAGCAGTGGCAGTCTCATTGACCTGAGCAACGAGTCCCAGGACCACAGAGTTCACTGACTGAAGGAAGCCCACTGACTCCCATGCCTTCGCAAAGACAGCCATCAGAGAAGCAGTGTTTTGAATCTGTATGGGGAGAAGACAAAGAGAGTAACAAACTGCAATCGGCAATATCTAAGACTACTCAGGGCCCATTCACATCTGTTTTTTGTGTGTTGAGGTGCATAGTGTTAAGGCATCTCATTCATTCATTTTTTTTTCTGATGTGCTATCAACACACTTCACTATTTCAGACAGAGCACCTCAGCACATAGCATACATTACCTTCTAGTGCAGGGGTGGGCAAACTTTTTGACTTGAGGGCCGCAATGGGTTCATATATTGGACCCGGGGGCCGGACCAAGAGTAGATGAATGATGTGTATGTGTCATCCATAGTAAGTATAGTAATATTCCCCCATAGTAAGCATAGTAATTAATCCCCCATAGTAATTAATCCCCCATATAGTAATTAATCCCCCATATAGTAATTCATCCCCCATAGTAATTCATCCCCCCATATAGTAATTCATCCCCCATAGTAATTCATCCCCCATATAGTAATTCGTCCCCCATATAGTAATTCGTCCCCCCATATAGTAATTCGTCCCCCATAGTAATTCATCCCCCCTTAGTAATTCATCCCCCTATAGTAATTCATCCCCCATATTTGTAATTCCCCATAGTACCCCCATATAGTAATTTCCCCAATAGTAATTCATCCCCCATATAGTAATTCATCCCCCATATAGTAAGCTCATCCCCCATATAGTAATTCCCCACATATAGTAATTCATTCCCCATATAGTAAGTCCCCCATATAGTAATTTTGTTCCCCCATATAGTAAGTCCAGCCATATAGTAATTCATTCCCCATATAGTAAGTCCTCCATATAGTAATTTCATCCCCCATATAGTAAGTCTTCATATAGTAATTCATTCCCCATATAGTAAGTCCCCCATATAGTAATTCATTCCCCATATAGTAAGTCCCCCATATAGTAATTCCATTCCCCATATAGTAAGTCCCCCATATAGTAATTCATTCCCATATAGTAAGTCCTCCATATAGTAATTAATTCCCCATATAGTTGTCCTGCCATATAGTAATTCATTCCCCATATGGTAAGTCCCCACCTGCTAGAAGAGTGCCTGGTCTCCATATAGTAATTCATTCCCATATAAGCGGTTATAGTAAGCTGACGGTCCCCCATATAGTAATTCATCCCCCATATATTGCAGTAAGTCCCCCCCCTTCTCTGTGTCAATTCACTTACCTTTGGGACCGCGCGTTCCTCTCGTATTCCCGCGCCGTTCTGGTCTTCAGGGAGGACTGTGAGAGGAGTTCGTTCGTTAACGCTGCCCCGCCACATCCTGACAGCTGGCTCCAGTCCTGACAAACGTCCGAGAGGAGGGAGGGGGCGGCCATCCGAGCAACGGGGGGCGGCCATCCGAGAGGAGAGGAGGGGAGGAAGCCCACTGAGGATGGCAAAGGGAGGGGAGAGAGGAAGGAGGGGCGAGGGGAGCTGTATGCGCCCGGCACACAGGAGAGCCGCATCTAAATTTGTAAAGAGCCGCGGCTTGCCGACACTGGCCTTGTGGAGGTGCATAGCCCCGGGCATCTCATTAAAAGGTCCGCCGGGCCGTATACGGCCCTATTTCAGGGCCGTAGCACCTTTGCCCATTGCTGTTACTTCTAGTGTATATGTGCATTGGGGTGAAATTCTAAAATAATTTACATCATTAAGGATCCTTGACTTAAGCTGGGGTGTCCCTAACTAAAATTAGTGTCACAGTTAGATTTTAGCCAGCTTGGGCTTTGTTTATGCTATCTGTGTTCATTGGGGTTCTCCTAAGCCCAGGGCATTGATTGCTTCTGCCTGCTATTGTTGAATGTTCTTCGGTAAACAGAGTGAGAAGTTACAATGCCTTAGGTTATGAATATTTATCCTGCCTTGGCTAATCACTGAAAGGGTTTTTCCAGTGATATAGGCTGAGGAAGGGGAAAAATATTTGGAGTACCCTTTTAGAAGGGTTCTTGCCTTTCTTGCTTGGTAAGAATGTCTGTGTAGAAGGCTCCTTCAGTCCTTGTCTCCCAGGCTCTGCCTGGAACAGGAATCCAAAGTCAAGAAAACTTTTATTCTCTTAGCTGCCTATCTGAACCCAAAAAATCCAAGCTTGATTGTATCAGAGGCCTAAGGAGGCTGAAACTAACCTGTAGTAGAGGCCAAAGAAACTGGAATATAGCCACTTGTCTAGGGATCCAGAATCTAAGGGATCTAAGCTGTCTTGTGGCAGAGACCTAAAGAATGTAAAGCTGACCTGTGGTAGCGGTCTAAGAAACTGAAAGGAAGCAACATGTCTGGGCCTAAAGAATCGAAGCTGACATTTGACAGAGGCCTAAAGAACCTAAGATGACCTGTACCAAATGCCTATAGAACCTACAGAATCAAAACTGGCCTGTGGCAGAGGTCTAAGAAACTAGAATGTAGCCACTCATATAGGCTTACAAAATCTAAGCTGAGCTGTGGCAGAGGCCTAAAGAACCTAAAGCTGACCGGTAGTAGAGGTCTAAGAAACTGGAAGGTAGCCACATGTCTGTGCCTACAGAATCTAACCTGGCCCTTTGGTATAGACCCAAAGAACCTAAAGCTGACCTGTAATAGAGGTAAATATAACCTAGTGAATCTAAGCTGGCCTGTGGTAGAGGTCTAAGAAACTGGAATGTAGCCTTTCATCTGGGACTACAAAATCTAAGCTGAGCTGTGACAGAGGCCAAAAGAACC